ATGTTGTTATTTTGCACATCATATCATTGTTTCGGGCTAGTTTCATGGTATTGTGAGCCCTTGTGTGTGAGACTGGAGAGTGATGACTGAGTGAAGCCGAGAGCCTGATTATGAGTGACAGTTATGGGATCGGGCTGCACGCTGCAGCAGATTATTGATTATGCCTTTGTTGCCTTGTTATAGCGCTTGGGCTGAAAGGAGCCCCTCCGCAGTCTATACACCCCTAGTGAGCGCTGATGGTATTATTGAGGGATGGATTTCCACGGGCATGAATTTGTCCGAAGCATTGATTTATGGAGATGAATTTCTCCACAGGGATGGACTTCCCTAGACATGGATTTGTCCGAGGTATTGATACATGGAGATGGATTTCTCCACAGGGATGGTTTTCCCTTTTTCTCGGTACCGAGTGACGTCTAGTCATTGTTGAGTGTGTTCCGAGATGGATTTTCCTGGGCCGGATGGCCATATGTGGCACCGAGTGGTTGAATGTGTATACATATATATACCTGGAGATAGATTTCTCCTCAGGGTTAGATTACCCTTATTCCTCGGTACTGGATGACTTGCAGTCAACATTGTATATGTTCTAGGATGGATTTATTTGGGTCGGGTGGCCATATACAGTACCCGAGTGGTTGAGCGCTTGAGAGTGGGAGCACATGGTGCATTTCATACATTCTATGCATTGCCATGTAGAGTTAGCTGAGCTTTATATCTTACATTATTCAGATCTGTATATATTTCACTGTTGAGTTGTATTCTTGAAAGAATAGCATGCCTACTTTACTGCACAACTTATTTCTATTTTCTGTTGAGGTTACGTTCGTCACTACCTATCAGTCCAGAGGTTGGACTTGTTACTTACTGAGTTGGTATACTCACGTTACCCCCTGCACCTTGTGTGCAGATCCAGGTACTTTCGGTCCCAGTGGCAGTCATTGATTGAGGTTGCCGGCTTGGGAGATTGTTGAGATATCTGCATGGCGTTCACATATCTTGACCTCCTCCTCTATTCTAGTTGTGTTTCAGTTGTATTCAGTAAATGTTGTAGTAGACCATGTTATTTCTCTAGACGCTCATGTACTCTGTGATACCCTAGTTTTGGGTCGGCTGAATCGTGTTATGGATTTTGCTTATATTATGAACAATTTATTTTCTTAAATGATAAAAGTACTCTTCCGCAAATGTTCTAAATTTTAATATTGTGGTTGGTTTTCGTTGAGTTGAGGCTGACCTAGTTCCACGATAGGCGTCATCACAGCGAGTTGAGTTTGGGTCATGACAAAAAGTGAGTTAATATCGCTAAATTGATAAAACATATGCTACAGTTGATCTTAGCCAAAAAGCCGAGAAAGGTACAAAAGAAGACTATTGCTTGAATACTGCTTCAAAGTATAAGTTAATTATTCATATTTGAAAACCATTAACTTGATTAATTCAAACTCATATCGAGTAATTCAGTACTAAAAAAAATAAGAGTCTTCTTATTGAATAATTTTACATCCTCAGAATTCGAATTCGAACTTTAAAACTCCAACCATTAGCAATTATTTCTAGATGAAGACCCATAACCTTAAATTAAAATAGTAGAAAGAGAGAAGTCTTTTTTGATTATCCTTGGTATTATATAGTGGACTTAATCAATTCCTAAATTCCAATATGTCATAAAGAACAGATTGATATCCACTTAGTTGGCTATATATATATATATATATAGTGACATAATTTGGTCTAGGTGGATGACAGTTTGAAAGCAATGATCATTATAATTATTTTCAATTTAGAATATTAAACTATATATAACTCTACATATATGTGTTTTTCAGTATATCTCTCTTTTCTGTGGGGAAGAGATAAAAAGTAGGGAAATTTGTTAGCGAGATTAGTTATTCGAAAAAAGGGCCAAAATTGTCCCTGAAATATTATTACAAAATCTTCTATTTTACTATTTGATAGATTGAATCCCTACTGTTATAATTTCAATCAAATCTACCTCTAATTTAGATGGCTATACCACGTCTCACTTCTAAATTGGAATGTGGCTAACTACGTGTTATTAGAGGCTAGCCACATTCTAATCTGGGTTTGACACGTGGTTAGCCGTCTAAATTAGGAGTAGATTTGAACGGAAGTATAACAGTAAGTACCCAGTCAACCAGATAGTAACACGGAAGGCAATTTTAGACAATATTCGATAGTACATGGACAATTTTAGCCCTTTTCCTTTAATTATTATCAATTATAAAAAAGGTTATCCCATTATACATTTTCATCCACTAGTAATTTCATTTCTATATTCTCTCTCAATACTTTTATTTTGTGGACATTATGACTCCAGTCTACAGGAATATAAAACTCTTCCCATTTTTAGACATTTGAAAATGTCTGAGACGTCATTCCACGAATAATATTATTTAAAATTCAAATTAATTTAACTTAAGAAAGGCAGATTAATTGAACATAACCAAAGTTGTGGAGTTATCACTTTCCCATAGAATATTCTGAGAAATTATATTTTATAGTCCTCTGTCAGATAGCTCTGCGTAAGTTTCCATTTTTGTTATAAAATGTCAGGAATTTTATAAGGATGCTAATATATTTCCAAAGAAAAAAAATAGTACTACTATTTTATTTTTGTGAACTTGGTATTAATTGAGAAATAATATAGTGAATCAAACAAGGGGAGACTTGGAGCAACGATAAAATTATCTTCGTGTGAGACCATGGGTTCGAGTTGTGAAAGTGGCCACTAATGCTTGCATTAGGGCAAACTGTCTATATCACACGGCCCCTTACAGCCCGATCCCTAATCCTGCGTAAATGCGGAATATTTTGTACACTGACTTGCATTATAGTGAATCAAACGTAGCTTCAGCTAACAATTTGTCTGGCTGTCCATGTGAATTATTTGATGGAATAAGTTGTCTTTCTTCTATCTCACATTAGCTGTAATTAATTATAGAGTTATTAGACAATAATTGTATGCTTCTAAGTATCAACTACATGATGTTGAAATCATCTTCATCATATTATATTTCTTGATCCTTCAAATATATTTTTTTATTTAATATTTTCGAGAGTACGTTAATCGTCTAAAACACAAAAGCGTCAAAGAATAAATAACAAAAAATTACTTTAAATTTTTTAAAAGGAGAACCCATACTTTCAAAATAAGGACTAAGTTATATAGATCGACAGTATAAAGACTTGCAAACTTTATAAATGAATTGATTATGTAAATATATTTTATATATCAGAGAATAGAACTTAAACTCATAAAATAAATACTTATAGTTAACAAAGTCGAAAAACCTAATTTAAAGTGTTCTTAATCATCACTTAAAAAAAAGTTTCACATCTAACAATACCACTAAGAGACAATCTTGATATGTTATAAGATTTGCAGACAATAAAAGAATATATTCTGGGCATAATATATTCTTCAGTATAAGAAACAAGAAAAACAAAATAAAAAGGGCATGAAAAGTCTATCAATTCTCCTACACAGAAATATTAATAAGAATTAAAAAAAAAGTAAAATAAAAAGGGTATTACAGATGTCCTAATATAGAACTAGTTTTATTAATTATAATAATTTTTAGCTATGGCCAATGGGACCTAAGTAACCTACCATGTGCAAGAAAGAAGCAAACAAATCCCACTCAAAGTGGAAATTACAATCTTTTTTTAAGTATAAAGATTTGGTCATTTGGGCTTTCCTATTAAGATTTCCATAGTTTTGTGCAAAGAATCATTAAAATATTTAAAGCTTCTGAAAGGCTTCCATCTTCTTCCTTATATATGGGTGCACAAGTAATTCACTTGGAGCAATAATTTTTTTTCCTTCTTATAATAATGCCTCGATTATTCTACCGGATACCAGCTATATAGGAGTACATATACTGAGTAACGCAACTTAAACATATAAGAAGAAATCTTTCCTATAACAATACCTCGATTACTTTACTAGATACCTGCTCGGCTGCTACATAGGAGTACATATACCAAGACACTGCTTACTAATGCTTAGACATATAGGAAGAATTCTTTCTTATAATAATACCTCGATTATTCTACTAGATACCTGCTAGGCAGCAACTACATATATAGGAGTACATATACCGTGTAACGTTGCTAACTAATGCTTAGACATATAGGAAGAAACTTTTCTTATAATAATACCTCGATTATTCTACTACATACATATACCGGGTAATATTGCCGACCAAAACTTAGATATATAGGAAAAAGTTACCTAACATTTTTTTGTCTATACTGAACCTGATCACCCGTGGTTTCCACCCACTTCGTTAACTACAAAGCCACATCTTTAGTTGCAATGGGGCAGTTGTTTGTAAAACTTGGCTGCTTAGGGTTTAAAAAGTTAGTAATATTTTATAATATATAACTGAGGCTTCACATTGGCAGATGCATGTACTTAAGACTGAATTTGTAAGAGAGCATAATAGAAAATAGTTTTACGTGGTGTTATTTCAAGGTGAATTTTCACATGTACAATGAATCTGCAGCCTCTATACATGGACATTAATATTAGTGAATATGATAAAAAGGGCAGCCCGGTGCACGAAGCATCTTCGGCTATTTCCGATAGTGTATACGTAGACTTTACCCCTACCTTTAAGAAGGTAGAGAGGTTGTTTCCGGTAGACTCTCGGCTCGGGTGTGATGTATGATAGAACTGCATTATTTACAACAATGATAGAGTATAGACAATCGATACAGCAACAACAACAACGACCCAGTGGAATCCCACAAGTGGGGTCTAGGGAGAGTAGTGTGTACGCAGGCCTTATCCCTACTCCGGAGGAATAGAAAGGATGTTTCTGATAGAACCTCGGCTCACGACGATGGTAAGGACAGTGGAGCTGTAACATCAAAGGAAGTCAAAAAGATAACACCAACAACGTGATAACCAGACAGCAGAAAATCGATACGTCGTATAAGAAAAAGATTTTAGGAAATAAAATAGGAGATGATACAAGCAAATAAATTTGCATCTCTATTGCCAAGAAAAGGTAGTGGTCTCTACATAAAACACTGAGATTCCTAATGTACAGAGAGTTGATTCAAGTCTAACCATAATCTTTTCTGGGGATAATACACACTGTTACATTAGCAGACAAGTCAACTGATCTTGTCCAACACATAAACTAATCAAGTGAGCAGCAATCTGTAACGAACTGACTAAATCTTACTCGCGTTACCTCAATCTTTAGCAAATGATGAAACAAGCTCAGCAGCAGAATCTTGAGTTGGTAACATCGGTGTAAAAACAGCCAGTTCTTGAATCAGTTATGTTGCTGCAATAAACGCGAACCTTTTCTATTTCCGCGAAAAAGCAGCTAATTCCTGTGCAACACTTCTTAGTAATAACTAGAACAAATCATTTCATCTCTTTCCAAATCTTAAGCATCTGTTGTGTTTGGATTCGGTTATACTTGGGGCTTGAGAAAGGCGTGCCTTGTTTCGTTTAGAAAACGAGTGTTTCTCCATTGCATTAACGAATTTGCGCAAGTGCTTAATGTACTCAGGAAATGTCTCTAGATTACAATGTCCTCCACCTTCGACCCATAACGGATCATATTTATCTTTGGCGAGCTCCCACAAACGCTTACCATGTGAAAAATCAACAACCTCATCAGCTGTACCCTGCAAATAACTCATTTTTCAGAGACATACAAATGCTAGAAGTCTGGTAGGTAAGTGCAAAAAGGGCGTTGTACTATCATATTGCAAATGTATAGGAGCTTTAACACAGCAAACAAGCCAATCCTATATCATAACAGTATATATGATATGACATATAGAAAAAATTTCTGCAGCTACGGATTTAAGCCTATCCATTTGCAAGAGGGAGATGGTAAAAAGAAAAAAAATAAAGAAAGGAACAGCATACTAATCTTAGCTCTTTCTCAAGATAACAACCATGTTAAGGATAAACATGTGGAACACGTCATTATCTTGTGGAAACTCCTCTGGATATATGGGTTTAAACATCAGGTATTCACGTTAACCTCGCCTTAGATTGTGACGAAGGATCCAGACGTACAATTAGAACTGACACTCTAGCAATTAATAATTGGGAAGTTGAAAACTGATGACAATCATACGTTTTAGCGACCAAGTTCATTTCAAAAATATCATTTCAATTGAAGAAACGATAGTATCTGCCATTAAAGAATTCATTAAGTTTACTGAGTAGCATACAAAAGTTTAGACTTTTTGCATTTTAGACATACATGGATCTAAGGTTTAATCAACAACAACAACAGCCCAGTGGAATCCCACAAGTGAAGTTTGGGGAGGGTAGTGTGTACGCAGACCTTAACCCTACCAATGAAGGTAGAGAGGCTGTTTCTGAAAGACCCTCGGCTCAAGAACGTAAAAAATGGAGCAATAGAGAAACAATAGAAACAACAATGTAATAAGACAGTGTAAGCAACTATCTAAGGTTTAATCAAGCATGTAAATTAAGAAAAATAATGACACTCCAGAAGGTAATATTAATGACCTTTTGCGCACAAAAGCATCATTTCCAACTTCATTAAACAGCAATGCCTAGTGGGATTGCACTATAAGACGTGATCGTGGATAAGGAACTATTTATCTGTAAAATACATCAGACTGTATTAAACAAGAAAGTGTGATTTCAAATATGCAGGAGAACTTTCCTGTAACACTTTCAAAAGGTTACAAGGACATAAGCAACTAGCATTTTAAGTGCTTAATATATTCAGCCGCTGCATTAGCTGTAAAAGAAAGAGAAAGTTAATTGGTACAGGAGAGTAATAGTTTTCATCTTTTAATATACTTGCATCTTTTTAATAGCACATGAGAAATTTTACTAGGATCTTCTGGTGACACATTGCATTCTGCTCTGGAGTTACTATTGCTTTGCCATTGATGTGCCATCGGTATCCTCCTCAAAACCGCCAAGCATTCAGTTAAACTTTGGGCTTTTTTCACTTATAGCCCGCGCCAGAAACTATTTATATTTGTATAAAATTTGTATAATTTTTGTATATAACGAACAGAATGTATATATATATATACAAAAAATATACATTTTTTCGGCTATTATTTTGAGAGCGGCTATATAGTGTCATTTTCCCTTAAACTTTCACTATTGCTTTGCCATTGATGTCCTTTACTGAGCAATAGAATCCTTCTATAGCCTCTAGGGTCCATTATAAGTTTCCTTATTTGTTGGTCCATGAAAATGGACTGAGGTAAACTGTTTAATTTTCTTAATGTCATGATTTTCCATCCAGAATTCTCCTTTGGCCTTCCATTACTTCCTAGAGGCCTATCAACCCGCACAATTTGAACTAACCAATTCCACATGGCCGGGCCCAGCGACAAGTCTTTGCTACCAGTTGGACCCACCAAAAGCTTTAATCGTATAGTCAAAATACCCCTTGGTGGTCCATTCCCCAATTTGTCAGCAGTTACAACTAGTAAACTAAATTTGAAGATGTAATCATAAACAAAAGTTTAGGAGCTCGCACTTGGGAAATGAACAAGAACTTCCAGAACTTTTTCTCGAAAAGGAGATCTATAGGGAGTGAACTAATTAGGTGCCCAGCAGAAACCAACATCTCCAGCCCACTGTGCAAGTATGTTAGAAGTTTAACTAAAAATGATGCCCAACGTAGTCAATAAGGACTACAAACCCGAAAGGTCCGATGATAGTAATATTGGTCATTGGGTTGTGAACACATACCAACTCCAACAGCCTTAAGAAACTGCGCATGATTCAACATAGTCCATAACCTAAATGAGAGTTAGATAATTTAAAGATGCCATGACACATTTTTCCTGCTTAGTTTACCTTTGTCATCTTCGTTTCTCAATCTGTCATATCTTGCAACATAAGAACCCAATATCCTAAATTTTACTCCGACAACATCGAAGACATCTTACGGACGTGTTGAGGATCTGGTTTTTCAATTGAAACTTTGAAAAGGATGTTTTACTGTAGTGCTCACTGCGTGTCGTGTCAGGTTATGAAGAGGCGGATCAAGGATTTGAAGTTTATGGTACACGAACTCAAACTAATATATGATAGTAACTGCACTCACAATCAAATATTTATAGATATTTAATGGATTTCTTTATCCATATACAGGGTATGGGCAAACGCTATAGGGTTCAAATAAATCCACAAGTTAAAATGGTTGATGCGTCCCTGAGGTCATGGATACTCTGGCCTTTGAGAGTATCTGAACTAAACAGTTTCAATGACACAAGGAAAAGAGAGTGGGAAAGAGGACCAAGGTAAGACATATTTCGATAATATGTACAGTGAAGATACTCTTGTTCTAAAGCAGGTTCTCGAGTGTGCTCCATTATTTTTCATGCAGTTCCCAACATTAGAATAATACCATCAACAATTGTAGGATACTGACGAAGCAAGTAAAAGATAACAGTGTATTTAATTCCGGTAAGCACCTTAATGAAAGGGAAAGTTAAAATGATCATTTAATCACATGATAGGTCAGTCACTCAAGCATTCTATTTGGTGCTATGGTTTATGTCGAAAAGAGAAGTGTAAAAAGATAACCCCTGATTAGAAGCATAGACTTGTAACAGTTATCCGGATATTTGAATAAAAGGACAACAAAATCATGTAAAGTCAGCCTAAGTTGCTCGGACTCGGGTGCGGGTGTCCGATACAGGTGCAAATTAAGAGGCCGGATCCTTCTAAATTTTAAGATTTGTGGGTACGGATCTAGGTATGGATACAGGTGTAGGGATTCGGCTAAAAATAATTCAAATATCTAAGAATAGAGTTATAAAAATATGTCTATAGTAAGAGATATTATGTGGAAAACTTGCAAGGTATTCTGAGAATGAAAAAATATTGATCAAGTGGAGAATCTAAGAAGGAGATAAAAGGAAAAGGATTGACATAGAAATTTCTTTATACAAGGTTCTATTTTCTTCAATTTCACCCTAACTTTTGTTTTGATTTCAGAGTATGCAATCCTTATATCTTTTTATCAAAAACGGTTGCTTGAAAGAAAGGACCAGTAATGAAAAATTAAGCTGGTTTTGAAGTGAATTAGATGCAATATTGTGAATTGTTTTTCTTGTATAGTCATAGTCTAAGGGTCTTTCAAGAACAGGTTTGATCTTTCAATGAGACAATAACTATTCTAGTTGATAGCGAGCTCGCTAATCATACAGGGGAAGGAAAGTGTGAAATGGTCCACTATTGGATTTTGACAACAGAGGTCATCAAAAGCGTCTTTGACATGTCAGCACATAAATCTCCCATCTACTTCAGTTGTTGAGTGACATAAATGCGATACAAGCACTTGGATGTGCCTCGAGCTTTGGTTAAAAGTGTGAGACTATTAGCAACTTGGTTTCACATATCTGCTATTCCACAAGAACATGATTCTAAAGATCAAGAAAATAATGAATAGGCACAACCAAAGAAAAGTACTGGTTCTCCGGATATGTCTATATATATATATAGATATAGATATATTATATTGATTTTTTTATTTTATTTTACCAATCCGAGCATAAACATGAGCCCAGTAGAACTCTTCAATTATAAAGACCAATACCATTTCGTTAAGACTTTTATCTTGAAAAAATTTAATAGGATGTAACAAAAAGACAAAAGCAGTTTCGCCAATTAAAAGCAACAAGGCAGGTGGTTGAACATGCTTTTCTACAAGATTTTGGCATAACTTTGGAAAAACTACTTGTCCATGTCATGAAACTTATCCACAACAACAATGACAATTATGCCTCAGTCCCAAGCTAGTTGGCAATGGATTCTCACTATCCGTTTCACTCTATTTGTACCCGTCTTTTCCAGTATTCAATAACTTGGAGTACTCTAGCACTAGAGGTTCTCTACATTTTCTACTGGCATACAAATCTTCAGACTAAAATGACTTCTACAACATTGAGCCTAATGAAAGCATAGCATCCCGACATAGCCTTAATGCCAACTAGTCTTGCCTGTATAGATTTTTGCTTTCATTGTGTCCTTTTCTCTGCGTGGATTTCGAGAGATTGTCAGTCTTTTGAGATCATTTCCTTTCATGCAATTCTAGGTCTACCTTATCCAATTAACAAAATATCGTCAATCATGTTTTTTGCATCTACCGAAGGGGTGCGTTGGGAGGTCTATGTAAGACATGACCAGTCCATATCAACTGATGTTACCTCAGCTTATCCTTTGTCTGTGCTACTTGCACCTTCTATCGAATGTGATCATTTCTAATCTTGCGCAATCTTGTATGATCATACACCCATCTTACTATCTGCATTCTAGTCTTACTATCCATCTTAATAGAATGCGAGCAGTTCTAATCTAGTCTAATCTTGTGGATCTTAGAGTCTCAACATTTACTCCAATCTAAGAATGCTGGTCTTATATCAATCCTGTCGCACTCCTCCATTTCACCAACTTATTATTGTTTTGTGTCACATATTCCTAGTCCCCTACCATTCCATTTTCTTGGAATGTCAGCAAGAATGAAGAAACTTTGAAGAATGAAGAACATACAGAAGCATACTTTTTTGTGAATAATCGATCAACTAAATATAACAAAGCAGAAAACAAAAAGTATGTGAAAGTATCTAGAAGGAAGAACGAACTAAATGTTTCTTACATGGATCACTAAAACTGGGCAGCTGACTTTTTGTATTTTGTCTATATTCTGCAAAAGGAAAGAAATTTGTCAGCATGATACTTCGTCATAATTAATCAACCAGGAGAAAACGAGGAAAAAAGAAATACTTACTTTGAAAATGTCAAACCAGAATGTCATCTTTACAGGATATAGAACTCGTATTCCTGAAAGTATAGCACTATGAAGAACAATGGCTCTTAACCTCTGTAAGCGAGATGCCAAGTGTAGTGTTGGCCCGCTGCCAACAGATTGTCCGTACAAAATAATATCCTCCTGCTTAATGCCGTATTCGCTCTTCAAACAATTATAGACAGCTTCAATGTCATAGTACGTATTGAACTCCGATGGCTGATACAAGTAAACTGACATCAATATGTGAAGATTGGAACAAGTAGACCAAAACTTAGAAGGCAACAGGATCAATGACTTGATGCCAATTGCTGGCTAATCAGAAGTTAGAAATGAAAGTTAGCATTATAATTTCCTTACCTTACCCGATGATCCGCCATATCCCGAATAATCATAGCTGCAATCCAGCATGCAAACAATGACATCAGTGCCAAAGAAAAAAGGAGATTATAACAGTAGAACTTTCAGGAATTGTAATTGCATGATGATACAGTATTAATAGAACTACAAAATTCTTGTAAGTTTAGGAAAGACAGATTAACAAGTTCAGAAACAGCGGGTCCAAAATCCTAACACCAAACAAGGGCAGGATATTACTAAGATATTATTGAAATTACTAAATCAGATTTGAGCATTTACTCAATAAGATGAATTAGAACAACAAACCAATTCACCACCAGCAACAACAACAAGAAACCCAGTGTAATCCCACAAATGGGGTCTGGGGAGGGTAGCGTGTACACAGCCTTACCCCGACCTTGTGAAAGTAGAGAGGTTGTTTCCAACAAACCAATTCACCAAAATAAAAAATAAAACAAACCTACTGAAATTTCATCCCTTCCCCAACTGGATATCAAGAAAATACTTAATCATATAAAGTATCATATACGAAATTACATCAAGAACACACTAGACAGTACCAATATACACAAAAACATGATAAAGATCAAAACTTTGAAATAACCACTAACAATACCAATAAAAAAACAAGAAAAACCCATGTAATCAATTATTCTAAAACACACCCC